TATATATATACACGCACACATACACTTCCTCGCGCGCGCACACACACACACACACACACTCACTTCCCCCCGCGCACACACACAGCAAAGTCAAACGAAATCGAATCATCAAGAAACAACATCAACAAAAACCTAACAAAACCAAAACCAACTACAGAACCAAAAAATTACCACAAACAAGCAAACAAATGAAATGCAAAAAAATAAAAGACAAAACAAAATCAAAATCAAAACCCCAAAAAATCTACTGGTTGTTTTCAAGGTCCTAAAGTGCTCAGAAAGGGTAATCTTGCTATGTTGAAAAAAATATTCTGAAAACGGGTCTGGAGCCAACTTGCAGCGCGAAGTTAGTTTCCAGGTGGTGAATTCATTGAGTAGCTAAAGAGTTAACAATTGTAGGACGAGTCGGAGGAGGGGGGAGACAACCCCACTATCCTTCGGTACAGCTCCGTTTACTTCTTGACTCGGAGTCTAATAAAGTCGTAGCATCCTATTTGTCGGATATTGCACTTAAAATAAAAATTAAGTCGCATTCGCATAGCGATAAATTGCATTTATGTTGCGCATATCCACGCTCAACTGCAAGCTCTATGCACTTACTTTACAATCTATGTTATTACACCTGCAGACATAACATCACTCAGAAACATTCTCGGATACCCGGGTGGAAAGCTTAATCGCCCATGCGCTGGCCTTATCAACTCACGGCTCTTGGCTCTGGTATATCGCGACATCATTCGGCTAGTGGAAAACCTGTAAAGTAAATTTAAATGGTGGTTTTTTTACCTGCGCGCCAAAATGGAAACTTGTTTTTAGAAGCTATGTAGGTGGCTGGCAGGTGCCCTAGTGCGGTTTGCGTCTCCTTTCCTATTTAAATATCTTCATCCTCAATATCTTCTCTTTTTGTGTGTGTATATTACTCTCTTGTAACACCTATAATATTCGGTATTTATATGCCCCACATATGTTGGGAGTGCCGTAAAACTCTAATTTGTTTTCTCTCCCCTAAAAGTAGAAGCTTAAAAATGTTCTTTGTCGCTCTGGGTTTCTTTTTCGAATTTGAAAGGAATGAGGGAATCGTACAGACCGAGGTATTTTAGTCAACAAAGAACGATTTTGTTATATGTAACCCAATACAAAATATTAGCCTAAGTGATGCTAAGCACAGATTCATTTACAGACATCGCTACCCTCTCCTAGAACTTCAAGGCCACGTTAAAGAAAGATGAGAATTAACAGCAAGTATTCTGTGTGTTTTGGGGTTAACATCGCATTCCAAGGATGATGTGTTCTGGGGTTGGTCAATGTCCTTCTACCCCCTGGTGCTTATTATCGTTGGTCTGTTTTGTGTTACGTGCATAGAAGCAGGGGGTGTTAAGTACGAGAACGGTGTGTCGTTAATCTAGTGGATAGGCTGCCAGACTCGTAATCGTGAGATTGGTGTTTATGGGGGTCCTAGGTTCAGCTTCGTCAGACCTTGTGTCTTTTGTAAAGGCACTTCGCTCCTCACACCTAGTCGTCTTTGTCGATGAGCTTGTTCTCAACACACACACACACACACACACACACACACACACACACACACACACACACACACACTCACAC